GAATTGTTACAATGGAACCATCCACCTAATAGCTCTAGATTTCTGTATTTTACACCCTGGATGCAAGCGCAAATAAATGCCCCACAAAACTTTGATTCCCTGAAGAAAGCAGAGCAGAAGGCCTGGAAACATTTTGACACGCCTCAGTTGCGTGCCACCGCACGCGCCATCCCCTTCATCTGAAGGCTCGTGTAACGGGCAGGTGGCAGATCTCAATTCTATTCTGGAATTACTTTGAGATAAGAGTTACAAACACTTCCCTGAAGTTTGTTTGTTCCATCAAGCTACTATGCGTTTTTAACGACACAATGTCTTGGTCCTCATAATTTTGGCCCACCCTTTATATAGCAGGATTAATGTGTTGTTCCTAGAACAAATAAAAAAAACTTGGGAGGACTGGGCGGTGCGTAAAAATAGACGGCAAAATGATGACGCGCATGCGCGTCACACTGTCCACCACGGTGTTTGAGGTTGAGCGTTAGGCTGTCGTCAGGGTGTAAACATGTTCCTTGATGTTCCTGGTCGGATCGAAATCACCCCGTTATACAGCTTCATAATTATGATTCAGATGCTGTTGATGTCTTTGTTGATCATAATGTTCTTGTCCTCATAATTATGGCCCACTCTGTATACGTAAACATTACTGCACGTTCGGTATGGCACTACGGGCAGAGTCAACCCTGCGTTGCGCAGTTCGCAACGGCACGTTGAGAGATCCTCAACGCACGCTGTATGGGCGGAGACACAGACGGCTCGAGCATGCGAGTGTGAATGTTCGCGCGAGAGAACGGGGTACCCCCCAGGAGGCCCGTCGCGCGGCAAGAAGGCAAAGTCAGCGGACGAGTCGCGCGCGTACTATAGGGATTTCGCGTCAAGTTAAATAGAGTGTCCCATTGCACGTCCTACATCGCACACCACGCGCTGCAACTCGTCCGCCGACTCTGCCTTCTTGCCGCGCGACGGGCCTCCTGGGGGGTACCCGAGGAACGTGTCTAATCGGGCGAAACTGCGCAACGCACGGTTGACTCTGACTACGGGGGCGGCAAAGATACCAATTCCACTGCAGTTTTGGATATCTTAGTGCCATTCGGAGTCATCCGATTTGTAAATTGCTACATATCAACGAACATCGGTGGATTTGAAAACGGTTTTCGGATGTGTAGCTCAAAATGCCATATGTTCCTTGACACACGTTGAAGATCATCCAGATGAAAAGGAAGCCTTCATCTGAAACACCTCAACTCCCTGCTCATCCAGCTCATCGAGAGCACCAGTAACATCTGCATACGTCCCTGTCGTGTCCTAAAGTAGCGTGGAAGACCCTCCTCACTCAAGGGACATCCAGTACTTCATTTTTTGTTCAGAGCTCTCGTAAAGAAGTCCGAAATATGGGTCAAAATGAGGCGTCGAGTGAAATACGCCCCCCCCCCCTTCCCGCTCCCAGCGGCCGAAGTGCATGCAACGACTCTCCTCAACTTCTCACATGTCAAGTCATGGAAAAGTTTCCTAATCTTACTTGAAAACCTTTCATCGAAAGGATTCTGCTACTCCACCTTTCTCGGAAAAATTCAACAATTAGAAAAATAAAAAACTAAAAAAAAAACGAAAACTCAATTTTCCTACCAAGAAATGGAGTAGAAAAACGATGAACTATTCATGAAAAATAAAACACTCCTCGAACAGGCATCTCCTCTTCCTTTAATTCCTTTGGTAGGCTTACCAAGTCCTGGTACTACAAAGAGTAGATGCCGCCCCCGTTCTCATTACTAGTCTAACCATAGGTCCGACAAGAAGTCTTGGTGAACCACCCTACCCAATTATGTTGACTGGTCGTGGAGTTGACCTTGGAGCAACTTACCCACTATTGAAATTTGGACACATATTCAAATGATTATAACCTTTTTCAAAGTGAAAAAATTCCTAATCTTAGATGGGATTTGGAAGTCGTTCCTGAAGCTCAGTTAAAGCTGTTAAAAGTAGTAAGAAATAAGCAATTTAGATTGATCGGCGAGAAAAATTCATAATGAGCGCGAATTTTTACACTTTCCTTAGGCCACAACTTCCTTCAAAGTCGCTATATTTCAAGAGTTTATATGGCATACAAATTAGAAGACTTGCTCTATCCAAGGTTTTCTAGAGCCGCTCAAAACGTCCACAATTGAAAAAATGGCCACGCCGAGAATTTTTGCCCGAGTACCGCCGAAAGGTAGTTTTTCGCTGCTTTGACTTTCTTTCTACGACTACAACTGCTTTCAGGGGCGATTTTGAACAAAAATGGGAGCAGATTCGCAAATTCACGTGCTTTCTTTCTCCAACCAAATTGTTAAAAAGGAATCTTCCACGGACCATGGACCAGTGGGCGGGACCGGAAGTTTTTGTGACGAAATGCATGGTAGGTACGGATCCACGTGTCGAACGCACGAACGTGAACAGGATTCACTTCAAACCTTCCCATGAACGTGGATCCGTACCTACCATGCATTTCGTCGCAAAACCACTTCCGGTCCCGCCCACTGGTCCATGGTCCGTGGAAGATTCCTTTAACAAATCTCAACTTTGATGATTACATGTTTATGAATTTGACGCTGAAGGCTGCATTTCTTGTTGAATAGTGGACTCCTCCCTGTAATTTCACACGGAACCCTTTCAGAATCCTCTTGATTTTCCTGAATTGAGATTCTTTCTCCAGATGGCCGTAGTTAAGCGCGCGCAACTTACCGGGCGACGCGCCGTGTGCTTCACATACCTTCATGTCGAAAGATAGAATGATGGACTCTGCGCAGGCAGGACGAGCATGCGGTCAGCGTTATCCAACGCGCTGTCGAGAGGACGATGCTAGGAGTAACCCTATACACGCAAGTGCAGAGGGGAATCCGGAGTTCCGAACTACGCCAACGATCGAAGATCAGGGACGCTGCCGTTTTCGCCAAGGAATCGAAGATAAGGTGGGCCGGACACGTCATGCGATTTTGCGATGACCGTTGGACCAGAGCGGTTACCGACTGGATCCCTCGGGACGTCAAACGAACACCTGGACGACCGCCGGCCCGATGGTCAGACTTCTTCACGAAAGCTCTGAACGAAAGGAATGAAGGACTTCGTGTCCCTCGAGCGAGGAGGATCCACTGGACCACTCTAGCACGCGACAGGGACGAATGGAGACGTTGCTGGCGCCCGCTCGAGCAAATCGACGATCAACGGGACGACAGGTGATGGTGAAGCTTGCACAGCATCGATCATTCCTTGATATTTTTGCCTAAAGGAGTCCTCCGACAGTGATGATCCTACTGCATCAATACAGACCAACCCTTTCCTTCTAGCAGGTCAAATACGACCCACCCCCCTCGCCGACCTGTCGAATTCCTCCAACGCACGCTTGCCCCTGGTCTGAACACCAGCGATCGTCCATGTGTTGGTATAACGTCCTCAGGGATTTAGTGGGTGACCGCTTGGATTCAGAGAAGCCGTCAGATCTTCGATTTTTTGGCTAAAACGCCAGCGTCCTTGCTTTGACCGATGACGTAGTTTGGACGGTGCTAACCTTGTTGGGGAGGAGTGGGACCACCAGCGGCGCTCCGTTGGCCTGTTCTCTTGAGGCTTAGTCGGCATCATGCCATGCATTGTAAAAACGGTGCCGCGAAATAGTATAGGCTTCTATGACTAAGCCTTAGGAAGCACAGACGAACAGAGTGCCGCGCCGCCACGCGGTCCCCCCCCCACCCCTCCCTCCTAGGTTAGCACCGTTCGGAACAACGAATTCCCCTCTGCAAATGCGTTCATCGGCTAACTCCAAGCATGTCCATGAAGAAATTGGAAAACAATTATAAACAGTCCCGCAACACTATGTAGTCGGGGGTTTGGGGAGAGTGCCGATTTTCGAGTAGAAGGAATTACAGAAAAAATTGAATTGCTCCGCGCAGTTTCTCTTTCCTCTGAGGCTTGACCTATGCAATTTCATTTGGAATGGGTATGCAATATCAAAAGGGTCTACTCCAGTTAGGGGGGATCATCGTGATGCAGTTTTTCCAGAAAGCTATGATAACTCCGAGCGAGTTAGGAGCAGGGTCAACCGTGCGTTGGACAAAGTCCAACGAGGGGTGGGGGGGGGTCGTATTTGGGGTGGAAAAGGGGGGGGTCGTATTTCGCGAGGTAGCGTTAATGTTACAGTAAGGGAAGTGATGATGCAGTTGGTTCGCGCTATATGCCCCTCTAGAAAACGTTGCAGTGGGAATGTGGGTGGAATAGGGAGAAAGTGGAGGAGGATGTGGAGGATGTTTGCGGTTTCGTGGTAGGTATACCCCCCCCCCGCTCGACGGTAATTTTGGTGGAAAAAAGTGGGTGGAGTTTGGGCTGTGTCGATTGGTCTCAGAATATGGCGATGGCAGGCGAGGGTGGTGAAGGGTTGAAGGGGGAGGGGGGTCGTAAATTTTTCGAAATCGGTCCAACGTGACGGTTGACCCTGGTTGGGAGTGTAGCCAGTCTACGGGGGTGGGGTGAGGGCAGTCACTTGACATGCGTGAAAAGCTGGAATGTTCGAGTTCACACTAGTCGCCGAGAAACTGCATCATGATGCCCCCCCCCCCCTAACTGGAATAGACCCTAACAAAATTCGCATACCCATTCCCACAACTAGTATTGACCAGTATCTTCGTCAGTGTTAAGTCTGATAATTACCGACGACGAAGCTGGTATCGTACATCAAAAACATAGCAATTTTGTAATTGAAGGCGCTTTGCTGCACTCAAGCTCACTTTCTACAGCAAAAAAATCAAGTGTCGATGACTGACACCCTCCTCGTTTTACGTATACGCTCGCTGACTGCAAACAAAGACCAGATGCAAAATCGCAGCGCAAGAATCGCCAGACTGTTCGTGACTGATCGATGACCAATTGATCACAGTTCCCCTCGTACGACCTTTGCTAACTATGCCTACTATACGAATCGTAACCGTTTGATTTTTGGACAAATTCTCGCTTTTCCATTTTCTTTTTAGAAAGCTATGGTCGTCGGCGGGCCAATAATCACACTTTCCAATGGCGTCAAGATGCCACAAGTCGGACTAGGGACATGGCAAGTAAGTAAAGAACTCGTTTGTAGATTGGAACGATGTCGTAATTGCGATGTTAATTAAATGGTGAAACACGTTGCGAATGGTGGTCATGTGTAGCCTGTCATGCATAAAATTACTCCTAAATTATTTTTCGACCCCGGCCGGTAGACCGAATCTTCGGCATCCCTTTTACCAGTGGGTATCACTGTCGTTGCGCGAGTATCCAAGATTAGGCGTGAATGCGCGCATTGTGGTTGGGCACACACCTTGCACGCAGTTCTACGTCAAGTTTCACGAATCGTCGTTCCCCATGCTGTTTCAGTTTTCAAAGTTTACTTGTATATATTAGGTAACGCTCAAGCTATATGGGGCCTGGTAAGAGGGGGCATTGCGGTGCACTAATCTACTTTAATGCCAGTCTCTCTCTAGAGTCCTTCAAAGTTACGAACTGCTACTGGCTTTATTCCTACGGTATTCTCGGGTTTTTTGTATAGTGTATATGTTCTTGTACACGGTGACATCAAGGTCCAGGCGCATTGTGCTTCTGGGGAGCAGCCTATAGGATGGTCACCACGACAGTAACGAAGAGGCACGAATTCCGGAGAGAGTTGCTTACGTACCTCGGATTCTCTCCTTTTAGACATGGCCCTAAAACTAAGCGCTTCCGTAAATCCGCAGTGTACGGGTCGTCCCCCCCCCCTCCAAAGCCACATTGCGCTGCGTCTATAAAAGTAATATTCACCTAATGAGCAGCTTGGATTAAGCCTAGGACGGTAAGGAGGTCCCTAGGTGAAGATTTAGTTTCCTCAGGTAACCGGGATGCCTCTTCTCTCCTCCGTCTTCTAGGGCCTGATCCTGAACAAAAAATGCCTTCTGTGGTTTCAAACGCGTTGGCTCCAAGCCGATGCCCCCCCCCCGGTTACTGGATGAAGCCCGTTTTATGGGTTCTAAAGATTGCATTTGATTGCTGGCACTTTTGAAATGCATTGATCAATTTATTACTTCAATTTTAGTACGATCTGCCACAGTTTTTCCTACTTATTTTTTTGATCAATTTCGAAAAACGTCGAAGCTTTTCTATTCGTTCTGAAGGTTTTTCAATTCAGTCAAGTCATGATGAAGTGAAGGCGGCAGTAAAAACTGCGGTGGAAGCAGGATATCGTCTGATTGACACGGCTACTTGTTATCAAAATGAAGACGCCATCGGCGAAGCAATCAAGGAATTGATCAAAGATGGAAAAGTCACCCGGGAAGAGCTATTCATCACCACCAAGGTATCATTGTTTTAAACTTGGCATGCACTATAAGTGAGAAGAAAGCCTTTGGTATTCAATGAGCGCGGTGATACAACCCTTGTGAATCTTGACATGTATTGCTGTAATTCCTTCTGTAAGTCCCTTCATGGGGCTTGATAGGATTTTTTGGCTCAAGTCTCGACGAGTTCGCCTTTTTAGAGCCTTTAATGATCGAAGCATTTTATGGCTACGCCTAATAATACTGTGGCCTGAATTTTCTTCTTCTTCTTCTTATTCTTTAGCGTCTGTCCCGCTTGTAGGCGGGGTCCGCTTTTCTGATGTGTTGACGCCACTTCTCCCGATTGAATGCTTGATCGGGGTGGATGTTAACGCTCTTCAAGTCTTCGTGCAACGTGTCGAGCCATCGCTGCTTCGGGCGTCCTCTAGGCCGCTTTCCGCGCACGTCAAGGTTGAGACCGATCTTACGGACACTGTCCTCATTCGCGCGAAGAACATGTCCATACCATCGGAGACGGGCTTCGCGCATTTTATCAACAATCGGAGCTACACCGAATCGCTCCCTGATGACATCATTACGAATGCGATCTAATCGTGTGACTCCGGCTGTCCAGCGGAGCATCTTTGTCTCCATCACACCGAGACGGGCTTCAACTTCTTTGGTCGCAGGCCAGCACTCAGCACCGTAAATGGCGACCGGCCGGATGACGGTTCTATAGATCTTGGATTTGAGACGCTCAGGTATATTCTTATCGCAGAGAACGCCAGTCATCGAGCGCCATTTCAACCAGGCTGCATTCACGCGAGAATTCGTTTCCACGACCAGGCTGCCGTCAGACGCAATTGCTGATCCCAGATACTTGAATGTTGTTGTACGTGTGAGCTCAGTACCATTGATCTTAATAGAGCCTGGCTCACTCGGATCGGTGGTCAAGTACTCTGTCTTTTTGACATTCAACCTGAGTCCGAACATAGCTAGACGGTCGGACCAGGTTTGCACCTGTTGCTCAAGCGTGCTTTTATCTTCGCTAGCGAGCATCACGTCATCAGCATAAAGAAGCGTCCATGGTACCGGCTTCTGGAGATCTTTTGTAATGGCATCCATGACGACAACAAATAGCAGTGGGGATAACGCAGAGCCTTGGTGTACTCCGACAGAGATGGGAAAATCCGTCGATGTGCCCGCACTCGGCTCTTTGGACTCGAGTACAGGATGCGCACCCACTCAATAAGCTCTTCGGGAACGCCATGCTGTCGTAAAGCATACCATATAACGTCACGTGGAACGCGATCGAAAGCCTTCTCCAAGTCTAGAAAGGCAAGATGTATCGGCTTTTGTTTTTCGCGATGCTTTTCTAGCAGAAGGCGAGCGGCGTGTATGGCATCGATGGTGCTGCAACCAGCAACAAAACCACACTGGTTGGTGGTCAGCTCGACGACGTCACGGATACGACTGTCTACAATTCGCTCAAAGATTTTCATGCTATGCGAGAGCAGGCGAATTGGACGGTAGCTAGTGCAGTCTCCAGGACTGCCCTTCTTCTTCCAGATTGGAATCGTCGTGCTCTGTTGCCAGCTCTCAGGCACCTTCTTCTCTGCAACGACCTGGTTGAAGAACTCCGTCAACCACTGTGCAGGATTCCAGCACTTTGATTTCCACAAGTCCGCCGCTAAGTCGTCAGGACCAGTCGCTTTGCCTGATTTCATCTTCTTCATAGCCGTAATGGTCTCCTCCATGGTTATCTTCTGAACGGGGCCGTGTACTGGCGGAGCGCAAGGGATGGCGGGATGAGCAAATTCGACTGTTGAGATGTTCTCGAAGTATTCACACATTCACACCATCGCTTCAATGCTTTCTCGCGGTCCGTCAGAAGGTGACCATTCGCATCATTTATGCCGAAGAACTTTTCTATATCCTCGGTCTGGCGATAGCGGGTCTTTGCGAGTCGGTAAATGTACCGTTCACCATCGCGCGACTCGAGTTTCTCATTGAGATCGGCAAAATGAGCTGCTTTCGCAGAAGCAACGGCCTTCTTTGCCTCTTTCTTCGCTATCTGATAGCGCTGCCAGCAACCGGCTGTCTTCTCCGAAAGAAAAGCGTGGTAGCGCTTTTTCTTCTCTCTTACTTTCTCTCTAACTTGATCCGTCCACAGCCATGTTTGCTTATCAACCTTTCTCCGTCCAGGCTTCGTCATGCCGAGCTCGGATCGCGCAACCTGGGTGATCGCTTCGGCAGCACCTTTCCAAGTTTCGTCGACAGTCGTTACCGCTGGCAATCGAATGCGGGAAACGACGGCCGCTTCTTTCTCCTTCAGTCGCCACCACTTGATTCTCGCTGGCCCACATCTTTCGGCTAGTTTCGTCTCGGTGGGGGAGAAATCAATTTCTTCGGGCGCTCTAGAGCTTCTGCTAACTCGTGCGAGCGTCCCGTTAACGTGCCAACATTTAACGTCGCAACGCGAGTCTTCCATACGTTGCGGGACTTTTGGACTAGCCTAGTTGCCCCCCGATGCCGTCCTTGCACCGGAGACCCTCGCATACTTTTCACACTCGCCGGGCTTTGCGAGTGCGCGTCGGCTCCCGCGGACGCCGTAGCATTATCTCGAGATACTTGTAGCGACATTGACATTTGTGATGTGACGTGGGTGTTCGTAGGCCGGCCTGTCACGGGGGCCTGTCGCCTGCATTCGAATGTCCGTGGTCGGCTCAGCTCACAAAAGTGAGCAGTTTCCAGTGGCACCACTTGGAGGAACGGACATCACCACCAATACTGTGGCCTGAATATCGAGACAAAACCTTGACTCATGTCAAGATTTAAACCTAATCCAGTTAAGGTGATTGAGCAATTTCATGAGGTTTTCTAGAAGCAATATACAGCGAGGTTTCTGTGTCTGTGAAACCCTTTCTTGCAGCTGTGGGCAACTCATCTGCACCCGGATGACACGGAAGGAGCTCTTCGCGACTCTCTTCGCCTTCTTCAGCTCGACTATGTTGATCTTTACCTTGCTCACATGCCGGCTTGTTTCAATGTGAGTGATCAGTTATGGCACATAAAAAATTTTCACCGCCCAAAAGCAATGAACTAATGACTGGAAAGTGTGGCGATTTTTGAACGACACCATCGGACATCATTGGTGGAAAGGCGTCGGCAGGTGGTCGCGACCACACCATCCAACGTGCTGAAGGGTCTAGTCTACTAATGAGCTCCAATGACGTCATCAAACCTGCCCCGCCCTCAAGCCAGCTTGTTCACTGCTTTAAGGCATTGCATGAATTTTAACGGATGTGGTTCACTAGGACAGAAAGCGACTTTTTCGCCGCAGCGCGAAACATTTTTCGCTGCGGGAACCTCGGGTCCACTGATTTTTCGCTGCGGGAACCTCGGGTCCACTGATGATCAGCGGTGGACCTGAGGTTCCCGCAGCGAAAAATGTTTCGCGCTGCGAAACGCGAAAAATTCGCTTTCTGTCCTAGTGAACCACACCCAATTTTAACACAATGACGACAGCGCGAGATGCATATGCCCCGCACTTCTGCTTGGATGAGACCCTCTCACCTATGTTATGCCTCAATTTTGCACTTTTTATTAATGGTGAAGTTAATGGTGAAGAGATCACTACCGATGAAAATTTAAATAGATGTGGTGGTATACGCTGAACGGCGGTCGTCAGTGTGTTAAACGCTCGATTCTTAGAAAAGGACTCGATCTAGTACGCTTTCAACCAAGATATTTTGACTTCAGCATGACATGTCGGCGCAGAACCGTGAGGTAACCGTGCAAGATGTGTGGCGAGGCTTGGAAGGTGTGCATAAGAAAGGGCTGGCCAAAGCGATAGGCGTTTCTAATTGGAGCGCTGAGCAGATCGAACGTGTAATGAAAACTGCCTCCGTGCCTATTCATAACTGTCAGGTTTGATTAAAATAATTTCCTTTTTTTCCAAATGAGTTGGCGCAGTTTTCAAAATCATTTTGGATGGTTTAGGTGGAACTTTACCTCTACTGGCCTCAGCATGAATTACAAGAGGTTTGCAAGAAGCACAACATTTCCCTCACTTCCTATGCATCATTGGGATCACCTGGACGTGTAAATTTCTCGCTTCCCGGAGGAGTGTGAGTTTTTATGCTCACATAATTCTGTCCGTAGACAAAATCATTAGCAATTTTGACCTGCTTTCAATTTGATAGATTGATTTGTTTTTGATTTTTGCATGTTTTTTTTTTTCTGTTTTTCACCGAAATTTGCCATATGCAATTTATCACAAGGATGCTGGCACACCTGCGCTTCACCCAAAGGCAGGAATTGAACCGGCACCTCTTGCTTCCCGGGTAGTACTACTACCGTAATACTATCGGTTAAGATCACGTTTTCATTGTACGTCTGAACTCTGATTTGCTATGGGAAATATACCGTTGGAAGCTGGGTTAATTTTCAATGGTGCCTTGATGGTCGAATGGGTAGCACTGTCCGGAAAGGGAGCGGTGCTTGTTCGATCTTCGCCTGTAGCGAACCGTTTTGCCCATGACCCTGCGTGCTAGAGATTT